CCGGGTGGGGGGCAAACACGGACAAGGGCACGGCGATTGCACCTGCCGCTCCGAGCATTTTCTGTGTGCGAGGCGGTGCGCGGGCACGCGCTTTCCCGTCATCGCCGCGTCCTCCCGTTAGGTAAGTATTCGTATGGTCCCCGTTTGGCACACGAGGAAAACAGCACAGAGAGGTTAAGGAGCATGCCTGAGGCCGCACAGCGAGCAGGTGACAGTTGCGATTTGAACCTCTGTGGTGTGATTCCGGCTCCCGTGCTCTTAACCGGTGTGCTACATTCAGTTGATTCCAGATGGAGAAGAATGGAGTTCCCGTAACCAGAATACTTCAAATGAGTATACGTGGGTTTGTTGTTGTTGTTTTTTTTACCAACTTTTTTATTTTGAAAAGTGGCAAACTTAGGAGAAAATTGGAAGACTAATGAAATGAACAGGTATACAGATTCAACAGTTCTGCTTCATATAACTTATTCTCTGTCTTGGGGCTCCTGGGTGGCTCAGATGGTTAAGCGTCCAACTCTTAATTTCCGCTCAGGGCATGATCTCTCAGTTTGTGAGTTCGAGCCCTGCGCCAGGCTCTGTGGTGATAAAAAAAAAAAAAAAAAAAAAAAAAAAAAAAAAAAACCCTCTCTCTCTCTGTAAGATCTTTAAAAAAAAAAAGGTAAAATCTTGTCATTTGCAACAATGTGGATGGAACTAGAATGTATTATGCTAAGCAAAATAAGTCAGGCAGAGAAAGACCTACAGTTTTACTCATATGTGGAATTTAAGAAACATAACAGATGAACGTAGGGCAAGGGAAGGAAAAATTAGATAAAAACAGAGAAGGAGGCAAACCATAAGAGACTCTTAAATACAGAGAACAAACAGGGTTGCGGGCAGGGTTTGGGGCGGGGAGGGATGGGCTAAATGGGTGCCGGGCAGGAGGGAGGACACTTGTTGGGATGAGCACTGGGCGTTGTATGCAAACTGATCAATCACTGGTTTCTATTCCTGAAATCAACACTACACTGTGTATTAACTAACTTGAATTTAAATAAGTAAAATTTTTTAAAAAGTAAATGGCAGGGGAACCTGGATGGCTCAGTTGGTTAAGCGTCTGACTCTTGGTTTCCGCTCAGGTCATAATCTCACAGTCGTGGGATCGGGTTGAGAGTCCATGCAGAGCCTGTTTGAGATTCGCTCGCTCTCCCTCTCTCTCTGGCCCCTCCTGCGCGTGCTCTCTCATTCTCTCTCTCAAAACAAACTTAAAAAAAGTAAATGGCAGATTTACTCGTAAAAGGAGTCTCCTAAATAACGATAATGCCGCCGTCACACACGAGAGGTACGATGTCAAGGAAAGAAAATGTTAATAAACCGTAGTTTGGGATCAGTCAGATCTCCTACTACATCAGCGAAACTGCGCTGCTCAAGGGCGCCTGGGTGGCTCCAGTCGGCCAAGTGTCCGACTCTTGATTTCGGCTCAGGGCCCAGCATCGGACTCCACGCTGAGCAAGGAGCCAGCTTAAGATTCTCTCTCCCTCTCCCTCTGCCCCTACCCAGATCTCTCATTCTTTCTCGTGACCCCCCCGCCCCCCCCCCCGCCCCAGAAAGGAAAGGAAAGGAAGAAATTGCACCGCTCAAAAAAATCCTTACCAGAACCTGATTTTCGTTTCTTGCAGAAGTCCTACTCCATGCCCATCGGCATCGAGTTTCAGCGGCGGTACGCGACCATCGTCCTGGAGCTCGAGCAGCTGAACAAGGACCTCAACAAAGTCTTGCACAAAGTCCAGCAGTACTGCTATGAGGTGGGGACTTTGTAGGAAATCGCTGAGGGGCCCCCCTGCGCTCTTTTACTTGAAGCTTAACGTGGGTTACCTTCACATTTTCGAAAATTCAGACTAAGCCATTACCTTTACGAGGCCCGTTAGCAAAACCACGTTTACGTACGTTTTTACTTGTTTTGGAGTTGGTTTGAAGAGTGCTCTACGCACAGGGAGCTATCAGTTCTGTTGGTTTTTGTTTGAGTCACAAATGTTAGAGCTCTTGGAAAAAAATTCAGGAAAATCAAGAAAAAGGATTACTGAATTCTGCTATCCCAATACTATATTTTGGTTTATTTCCCCTTCGTCTTGTATATGTACCTCTGCCTCTTCTCACAAGGTTATGGTCCTGCTGTGTATACAATTTTGCTTCCTCCTTTCAGCTTTGCATTAGAACTGTGGATTCTCGAACTTCCCGTATAGAGAGCATAGGGTTATTTGTGAATTGTTACCACGTGTGTAAATTCATGCATATGAAGGCAGTTCAACAGCGTCACCTAAAATTTGATTTTCTTTTAAAAACTGTTTTTAGAGTTTATTTATTTATTTTGAGAGAGAGCACACGAGCAGGAGGGGTTGAGAGAGGGAGAGAGAGAGAACCCCAAACAGACACCGAGCTGACAGCACGGAGCCGGATGCAGGGCTCGAACTCACGAACCATGAGATCACTCATGAACCATGAGATCACGACCTGAGCCGAAACCGAGAGTTACTTCACACACTGAGCACCCCAGGCGCTCCTTAATTTTGATTTTCTTACCATACGGTAGGAATTAAACGAGATGAGTTTGGAATGCTCCCGCACTCGCATTTTTATGTTTCCATTGAGCCTCCTCCACTTGTGATGTGAGATTCTGCACCACTTAGCCCTTTATCGTGCCGGCCTCCAGCGAAGTCCCACAGACCCGCCTCGGGCCATGTTACCAATCCCCCTGCACTGACCGTAGGGACGTGCTCAGTGGTTGCCTATAACCGACCTCAGTACATTTTGCTCGTTCCTCTAGCCCTCCGTTACCATTTAGTTTTATTTTCCTGCTGGTTGTCACCTATGTGACACCGCTCTTTAGCTTCGTGATGTGTGCCAGGCCTCTTGTGATAGGCTCGTTTTTCCAGGGAAGCAGACTGATTTAATTTTCACAAAGCTCTTGAGGACATACAGTATTGATTTTAAAATAAGAACAGAGAGCACTATGATTAAGCAATTCTGTTCCCAGTGTATACCAAACAGATTTGTGAACTTGTATTTACCCAAAAGATCTGCGCTGGAACGTTCAGAGCATCTAAAAACGTTAGAACTTTTTTTATTAGAGACAAGGTTACTCGTTGCGGCACTCCTGGTAATTGCCAAATATTAGGAGAAAACGTAAATGCCCGTACACAGGGAATTGGCTGAAGGACTTAGGGCACGTCTGCACTGTGGAGTGCCTACCGTAAGAACAGACCAGGAAGCTTCCCGTTCACCCACATGGATGATTTCCAGGCTACGCTATGTGAAAAAAGGAAAGTACGTGAAAGTTACTAAGTGTTCCCCTTGGAATCAGAAACATGCAGGAGTAGAATCTACGAGTAACGGCGTAGTTTTTCAAGAATAAATGCAGGAAGGACAGACCGGAAACCGATTTGGGGACGGAGTGGGGGTTGGGGAGGGAGGAGCGGTGACATTTCTTTGCGTGTCTGTTTCCTCAGCAAACACAGATGAGCTCAGCTCTAAAATGGACTAGAAAAAGAAATAAACGAACCTAACCATATTCTAGAGGAGAAACAGAAACACTGACGGGGGCCAAAACGCATCCACATAACCTGAACATAGTATTTTGACTATATATACTCTTAGGCTGAAGGTAAACCGAACTTTAAATAAATACTGAACTCCAGTTAGTAAGGTTTTTTCTCGTGGTGGTATGGGTTCGCAGTTCTCAAACTCTGCATTCCAATGGAGCAGATGAGTAACGAGGTGTATTGTGGGTGACAGAAGCCCGCTGTCCCACCTCCAGAGAAGGCGCCAAGAAGGAAAGGCTACAGCGAACCCTGTGGCGTTAAATTAGAAGAGGAAGAATCGGTCTGACTCCGTGGTTCCTTTTATTTATATGACACGGATGTAAGTGTGCATGTGTGTGCGCACACGCACTGAGAGAGCCCGGAGGCAGACACCCTGACAGCAGCGAGCACCCCCAGCACCCGATCTTGGGTTCCAAACGCTACTGTCTACAAATAGCGCTCCTTGAAAAAGAGCCTGCTTCCGGAGCGTGGGCAGAGAAGGTAGACGAGCCCGGACCATCTTAGCGGGCAAGGAAGTAAAATGTGCCCCCTGGGGTAAGGGAACATGTCCAGCAGAACCAGCCGGACAGGGTCCCCACTGGCCAAATCTGGGACAGTTTGGGCTTCGGCATTAAGTAATTATACTGAGAGATTATAACCTTTTGAAGAAAGTAAGAATCTGTGAGTCCATACTAATATTAACTAATTAACCAATTAACTTTTAAGGAAAAGTTCTTGTAGGCAAATGCCACCCGATAAATGTAGAAGGAACAGTGAGAGGAGAAGGGTATCCTGGTAATAACCGGTAAGGCGAGAATCGTCCCTAGACGCGAAAACTGGAGGGTGAAAGTTTGCCGAGGAACAGGGTCTTTATGTAGCCTCAGAATCCCCCTTCGCAAGTACTTACTGATCACACGGGAAATCCTGTGCCACGGGGAAGACTGGCAGACCCCTAACTACCTTAGCCAAGTGTTCGGAGGTAACACCACCAGCAGTTGGACACACCCACGTCCAACCGTGACGCCTCCGAACCGTGACGCCCTGCGTGGGAACTCGGTGCCACTTTCGTGGTTCTCCTCCCCAAAGTGCGTAACTTACGTCCAATCACGAGGAAACGGACAAACCCACGGTGAGGGACCGTGTACAAAATAATTGGCTGCTACTCTTCAAAAATGTCAAGGTCATGGGAGAGAAACTGGTCCAGAATGAAGGAACCTGCAGAGACATGACGACCACATGTCTTGGGGGGGGGGAACAGCCACATGTAGGACACTTGAGACAGTTGAGATTTGAATGCGTTCTGTTAGGAGTATGGCCTCGCATCAACATTGAATTTCCTGACTGTGGGGTGCCTGGGGGGGGTCAGTCGGCTTAGCGTCTGACTCTTGATTTCAGCTCAGGTCAGGTTCTCACGGTTCGTGAGTTCGAGCCCTGTGTCGGGCTCTGTGCTGACGGCTCGGAGCCTCCTTGGGATCCTCTCTCTGCTGTTCACCTGCTGCCGCTCTCTCTCGAAATAAATAAATGAACGTTAAAAAAATTCCTGATAGTGATAGTTGCACTATGGGGATGTAATAGAATATCCTTTACTTACAAAATACAAACTGGGAGTGCTTTGGGGCAAAGAGGCACAGTGTTTGCAGGTTATTCTCAAATAGTTACAGGGGAAAAAATCACACATTACACGGAGAGAGACCAAATAAATGTCAAACAGAATAAACCACAAACAGCGTCTCTGGGTAAAAGGTTCTCAAGGCTTTTCTCTTCTATTCCTTCTTAGAAGTTTGAAATCATATCAATTAACAGTTACCAAGACTATAAAAGAAATTGGGGGGGGGGGACTGTTAGAGAAGAAAAATTTCTAAGGTAGGAGTAAGGACCATTTTCATTATAAATGCTAGTTTTACAAAAATCCGAATCAGAGGGCGCCTGGGGGGCTCAGCTGGTTAAGCATCTGACTCTTGATTTCAGGTCAGGTCATGATCTCACGGTTCATGGGATTGAGCCCCACGTTGGGCTCCGCGCTGACGGCGTGGAGCCCGCTTGGGATCCTCTCTCTCCCTCCCACTGCCCTCCTCCCACTCGTGCGCACGCCCTCTCTCTCAAGATAAATGAATAAAGTTTATTAAAAAACCATCCGACTCTGAAAACGGCACAAACACAGATTATGGCCTTATGAACAACGTCTTCTGCTTGAACCCTCGGTTCTCAGCTCGCGCCGGACCAGGGCCTCCAGCCCGCAGATCAGCCAACAGACATGCGGCGAAGGTGCGAGGAGGAAGCCCAGGAGATCGTGAGGCACGCCAACTCCGCCGCCGGACAGCCCTGTGTCGAAAATGAAAACCTGACGGACTTGATCTCCAGGCTGACGGCTATCTTATTACAAATTAAGGTACCTTTGGGAGAAGACATGTCCTAAATTTTGACAGCTACACAAACAACTCTGCTGATCTGTTGCTGAAAAATTATAATCTACAGATTATATCCGATGCCTATTTGTCTGTCTTTGAACCGTGATTCAATTAAATTTTGAAATATCTTTCCTTTTAGTGTCTGGCAGAAGGAGGAGACCTGAACTCCTTTGAATTCAAATCACTCACAGATTCACTAAATGACATCAAGAGGACAATAGATGCTTCTAATATCAGGTAATTCGTTAGATGGACCCGAATCCCTCTGGTTAGTCCACGGTGCCTTCCGGCGCAGGTTTTAAGAATTAGGCGTGTAAGTTTTGGCCTTTAAATAAATTCTAAAAGAGCTGTCAGTTCTGTGCCATCTATTGACAGAACAGAAATGGGACGTGTGTTTTGCGGACGAAGGAATCCGAAGACGCGCACCGTGTGGACCTGGGCGGGGTGGAGGCGCCTCTGAGGCGATGGTCCCCAGAGAGAGCGCCTTTGCCCCCCCTTCCCTCCTACCTTTTCACTTCGTCCTGCAGTGGGGGTGGGGCCGCTGGGGTCGTAGCCCGTGTCAAGGGGAGATTTAGTCCTTCCTCGGGGCCATTTCCACAGCCCGCTCTTCAACTCCAGTTCAGCCCTTCCTTCTCTCAGAAGTCTTTTCCCGACGTAGTGAGATGGCGCAGCTCACCGCGTTTCTTCCTTCCTCAGCTGCTTCCAGAACAACGTGGAGATCCACGTCGCGCACATCCAGAGCGGCCTCAGCCAGATGGGGAACCTGCACGCCTTCGCCGCCAATGACACCAACAGGGACTGAGCGGAAGACGTCGCGGCTCCGGCCGCGGGGGACCCGCTTCGGAGTGTTCCCGCCCCCCCCAGCTCCCAACCCCGAGTTACGGGTCCCGGAACGCGGGGGAGGCCGAAGCTCCAAACGAGGCACTTGAGGACACTGGGCCGCCTGGCCCCGCGCCGCTGACCAGCTTCGTGCTTATTTGCCTCTTACCGTCCGGCTGCGGCAGCATCGCTTACGGCACCTGCTCGGGGGCGGGTATCTTTCAGCTGAAAACGTCCGAACGCTTTTTTTAACGCGCATGAACTCAGCCCGACACACGCAGGCGGCGCCCCCAGCGGAGAGCAAGAGACACGGCCTTGTGGCGGGTGGCCCGTGGCCGTGTGGCAGCGACAGCGGGGAAGTGACGGCCCGGGCTCCCCCAGCCGCGCACCCTTCGGTCGTTGACGGAGCGCGCCCTCGAGGCGCAGAGGCCCGGTCTGCAGGAAGCCGCTGGAACACGGGTGGGAGACGCGGGCTCGACCAGCAGACGTGATAGACGGAGCGCGACCTGGGCCTGCACGTCATTGTCTAGTAATAAATATTTTAATTTATCATAATTTATAAAAGAAACCTCTGTTGTTTGTCTGTCGAAAGAAAATGAAGGAGCAGGAAACAAAAGTACTCGCAAAATGGCTACATTTCGGCAAGTGGATTTGATAGGCCTTTTCCCGCCACGTCAGGGCAAAAAGTGCTGTGATGAAATGTATTTAAGAAGACTGACGACACACTATTTTCATATTTTGTTTATTTGCACATCTCGAACCAGATTACTGGTTAAAATCCAACCGTACACAATTTATAAAGTCAAAAGATTTTATAAGGAAAACGAATATAATAACCAGTGCAACGAAATGCAGGAAAAAAAAGGTTTGTATTCGGTCGTGGGGTTTTTTTGGTTGTTTTTTGTTGTTTTTAAAGGAAAACCCTGCCTACGATGTTAATCTTGTACAAAGTGTGTATTTGGAATTTTCTTTGTTTTAATATAGACTATTATAAAGTCAAAATATAATAAAATTGTTTTCAGATTTGGAGTTTAAGGTATAGCTGTAGAGGTGACTTTGATTCTTTTAGCTGTCCCATAAAATAGGACTTTTTATATGTTGATGTATAATAAAACTAAAACCAGATTATTTTCCATTTGAAAGTTTTGTATAGTTTAAAAATGCTTCCCTATTCTTTGTTGGTCTTGTGCCACTGCAAACCTTTAGTGCAGAGTTTATATTTAGCTAAACAGTTATGTTAATTAAGAAATGCATAAATCCTTTATTCTTAATATTTGTAATTCTAAATAAATTGATCTATGAAAAGTAGTATTGGCTACCATTTTCACTTAACTGATACAAGTTGATAAGTATTCCCTCTATTTAAAAAGTTTTGGGGCACCTGGGTGGCTGTCACTTAAACAGCTGACTCTTGATTTCAGCTCATGATCTCCCGAGTCATGAGATCGAGCCCTGCATCGGGCTCTGTGATGACAGCTGGGAGCCCTGTTTGGGATTCTCTGTCTCCCTCTCTTTCTCTCTGTGCCCCTCCCCCACTCATTCTCTCTCTCTCTCTCTCTCTCTCTCTCTCTCTCTCCCTCTCTCTCTCTCTCTTTCTCTCTCAAAAATAAACATTTAATTTTTTTTTTAATGTTTATTTTTGACAGAGAGACACAGCATAAGCGGGGGAGGGGCAGAGAGAGAGGGAGACACAGAATCTGAAGCAGACTCCAGGCTCTGAGCTGTCAGCACAGAGCCGGACGCGGGTCTCGAACTCACAGACGGCAAGATCGTGACCTGAGCCGAAGTCGGACACCCAACCGACTGAGCCCCGCCAGGCGCCCCTCAAAAATAAACACTTAAAATTTTTTTAATAAAAATAAATTTTAAAGAATTGTAATTCCCACGAAGTTCTATTTTAGGGGAATCAGTGCAGATTAATTACCAAGTCCTTTTGAATTGCGACTCTGTCCAATAAGACTTCAAGGGAGGGGTTTTTCCACCTCTGCAAATCTTTGAAAAACATTAAGCAAGCAAGTTCTTGGCTTACTGTAGACCTAGTGAATGGTTGGTTTTAACCTGTCCTGCCTAGAATTATGTAAAACATTTTTTACTTGTTTCCCCCGCGCTACGTAAGACTGGTCACACGTAAATCCCACCTGGTCGTAAACGCACGTATCTAGGGGCGCCTGGGTGGCTCGGTCGGTTAAGCATCCGCCTTTGGCTCAGATCATGATCTAGCGGTTCATGAGTTCGAGCCCCGCGTCGGGCTCTGTGCTGACAGCTCGGAGCCTGGAACCTGCTTTGGATTCTGTGTCTCCCTTTCTCTCTGCTCCTCCCCCAGTTGTTCTCTCTCGCGCGCGCGCTCTCTCTCTCTCAAAAATAAATAAATAAACATTAAAAAGACCGCACGTAACTAATTAAGCAGTGCCCAAGTTAAGCAGTGCCCAAGTGCTGGTGGCAGGAACTGTGCCTGAGATCGTATTTGAATTTGATTTCTGTTTCGGGAAGAAGAAACTTCAATCCTTCAGAGTAGTCATTTGGGGTCCGTTGTATGTGAATTTGGCGACGCCGCTGCCACTGAGCACGAGCTCCAAAGAGAGCCGTGGAAGCCGGAGGGAGCCCACAAGCCGGCACACCGCGTGCTTGCGGGCTCGGTTCTGAGCTCCCCTCGGTTGAGTTCCGGAAACCACATTCCCTTGCTACCGTTGAGAATCTATCAAAAGATGCGCCCACTGAATCCTTTCTCTCGAGGGGCACCTGGGTGGCTCAGTCGCTTAAGCGTCCAACTCTTGATCTCAGCTCGGGTCTTGATCTCGGGGTCACGAGTTCAAGCCCTGCACTGGGCTCCACGTGTAACACGGCGGGGGGGGGGGGGGGGGCTTTCTCTCAAATGCACGCACTTTCTGAATCCTCACCATTACCACTTGTCTGGCCCCGCCCAGCCACCGTCCCCACCAGCCCGGAACCGGGAGGTCACCCCCCACCTTCTCTAACATTCCACTCTGCCCCCTCAACTGCAGCTTTCACCAGGTAAGAGTCTTAAAACACAGAACTGGTCATTTTCTCTCCATCTAAAGGCTCAGGGCTCTCTAGACAAACTCAGAACTCTTTTATAAGCCGCCAAAAGTCGCGGTTGGTCTGACCTCTAACAACTTCTCCTGCTCCTTACCCCGCAGGGCCTTTGCACGTGCAGGTCCCCCTCCTCACCCTGCTAACTCCTGACCATCCTACACTTCAGTTTCTCACGGAAGCTTTCCTTGACCACCACGCACCCGTCTCCTGGGCCCTCGCATTTCCAGGCCCTCATAAAGCACCTGTTCGTGGCCAGCAAGTGTCTGTGCAGTGAACAGACAAGTTTCAAAAGCGCTCGAAACGACATGAGTGTCACTAGAGAATAAGTATACGGTTTTCCGTGAGGATGGCTCTGCACGACCCCCCCCCTCACTCAGAAGCCCCCCCCCTGCCCCGGCCCCCCCCCCCCCCCCCCCTTTAAGCCTATCACGTGATCATTAGTCCTGACGGAAAAGGCCAGGCCGACACAGGAGGCGTTATTCGGTGGTGGACAGATGGGTGGACTGAGTCCCGGCCCAGTTCCTTGCTCTTTCAAATATAGTCCCTACCAGGGTGGCTGGCCCCCGCCCCCCCCGGCCCCCCCGCGGCGCTCAGAGGGTTGAGCATCTGACTTCAGCTCAGGTCACCATCTCACGGTGCGTGGGTTCGAGCCCCGCGTCGGGCTCTGTGCTGACAGCTCGGAGCCTGCTTCGGATTCTGCGTCTCCCTCTCTCTCTGCCCCTCCCCCACTCACACTGTCTCTCTCTCAAAAATAAACATTAAAAATTGCTTTAAGTCATTTGAAAAAATAAAATTAAAATATAGTCCCTACCTTGCATGACAGTTGGAAGCCAGTCTCATAACGCCTGTAACACAGCAGCTAGGGTCTCATAAGAGTTCGAGAGATACAGACTAATGTTCTTAGAGGTCCTAGGCTAAGCATCCGACTTCGGCTCGGGTCACGTTCTCCCGGCCCGTGACCGAGCCTCACATCGGGCTCTGCGCCGACAGCATGGAGCCTGCTTCCAGTTCTCTGTCCCTCTCTGCCCCTCCCCTGTGCTCACTCGCTCGCTCTTAAAAAAAAATAATAAACATTAAAAAAAAACAAACCTCAAGTCTGCCACCAAAGCCTGAACTGTCTCCTGATTGCTTCCCGGAGGGGATGTGCTGCTCGGAAAAGCGCAAGTCATTTGAATAACACCTCTGAAAATTAGGGCAACTGGCGTAGAGACGCTGAACACAGCTCAGACTATTCTAGTAACGTCGAGACTGCACAGCCTACACACAGACCTCACCCCCGGCCACCGCCTATACGGTCTCCATCGGCCCTCAGGAGGGCGCAAAGCCTCCACGTACCAAGACGAGATTTTCATTTATCTCAGGCTAACTTGCAAACGGTAATTTGCACGCATTTCTTTTAATATTTACTTATCTTTGAGAGAAAGAGAGACACAGCGTGGGGGCAGGAAGAGGTACAGAATCAAGATCAGGGGAAGGTTCAGACTTGGGGGGGAGGGAGCCTCAAGCGTTTAAGAGAGAGAGGGGGGCTCATTTGGTCCCCGACGGACAGGAGTGGACAGGAGCGGCTCCGAGAAGGTCGCGCACTGTCCGGGGGTGACCTTCCGATCCGCACAACCGCCCTGCTGGCCAGAGACGTCGCCTGCTAGTCTGGGAAGGTAAGTGAAAGGTCTTTCCCATCTGGTGCCCCCTGGAGGCTTCTCCAGGCTTCTAAGGAGAGTGAGGTGTGTCCCCTTTGCCTCCAGCCTCCAGCTCCTGTGGGCTCGGCCCGAGTCCACCTGTGCTCAAGAGTTTCCAAAGGCAGAAAAGATGTGTTCCTCCCAGAAGTCCAGCTTTGAACTGGGGCCTTCAGAGAGGGGGCAATAGGTTTCAAAACGCTGACCCTGGCAGTGAGGGGCAGAGATGCCCTCTCCCAGCCTGTGGGGATCGGGCGGGCAGGTCCCATCGGTTTCAAGAGGCAGCTGGGGCTTTAGGCATTTCGCTTCGCTCCCCTGAGCAGAGCGGAGGAGGAACAGCTCCGGCCTGGCCGAGGGGTGACAGGGTTTCCCGCTCTGACGCCGCGACTTGGCACGTCTGTTCTGGAACCACACCTGGAAGCAGGGAGACAAGAGGGGCTTTGGGCTGGAGTCGTGCCACGATGGCCTCCACCGTCCCCACGTTCCAGGGCGGCGGGCCCTAGCTCCCTGCTCCGGGACCCCCTGGGTTTCAGAAAGCACTGGGGCCAGCCGATGGGTCGGTGTTCAGAGCCCCCCCCCCCCCCGCCCCGGCTTTCCCTGACTCACCACTGTCGGGTGCCTGGGCACCATACGGGGATATTTGCAATGAGAGATAGGGTCACGGAAACAGAATGGCTCAGAATTTGAGGATAAAATGCTTCTAGGCTTAAAAAGGAGAGGAATTGGGGGCCCCTGGGAGGCTCAGTCGGTTAAGCCTCCAACTCTTTGATTTCAGCTGGGGTCACAATCCCAGGGTCGCGGGATCGAGCCTCACCTGGGACTCCGTGCTGAGCGTGGGGCCTGCTTAAGATTCTCTCTCTCTCTCTCTCTCTCTCTCACTCTCGCTCTCGCTCTTGCTCTCTGTCCCCCTCCCCCTTTCATGCTCTGTCTCCCTCTCTCTCCCTCTCAAAATTAAAAAAATTAAAAGATGATAGGCATTAAAATAACTTAGCAAATCAATTCCTGAAAAGTACAGCCCCTCATCAAATCAATCAAGAAGGCACTTTGCTCTGCGGACTCCACCGCTGTGGATAAATTTGCTGCTCACGGTGTCCCAACCAATCCTGAGGGTGTCCTGCTTAGGAAGCCTCTGGGGCGAATTGCTGAGACCCACAGATCATTCCCACCCCCCACCTCCCCGGGGATGCACAAAAGCAAATTCGCTCCTCCCAGCGCTGAGATGAGGGCTCCCGCTTAGACCTGCGTTTGGACACAGGCCGAAGGGCAGGGGCCTCATCACCTCCGAGCCCCCCCGGGTTCTGATCTAAATGTGCAATAAACGCAGCCGGCTCCAGGGAGCCGCCCGGGCTTCAGGCTTTACCCCGAGATTCCAGACCCAGTACCGGCCCAGAGCGTGGCCTCGGGACTCCTGGGGGTGACTCGGAGAGTCGCCTGGCCCTGTCCCAAGGACCCTTCTCCCAGCGGGGGAACCCCAGCTGGGCCTCATCGGTCTCTTCTCGTTGAACCGGAGAAAGAAAAAGTATCCAAGGGCTCCCTCTCCCCCTCCCGCTGAGGACTCGGCTTTGACCGTTTCGAGGGGCC